TTTATCTGCAAATGGTTGAATTTGCAATGTGTAATGATCTCTGTAAGGCAGTTAGCAGTGAGATAAACATCAATTTTATGGCTGGGAAAACATAAGGGGTGTTGCACAGGAAAACGAGAGGACCTGAATACTGAAAGCTCTCTGACCTCCTCAGTGCAGTCGGGTTTAGCAGTTGTGTCATCGTTGGCCTTTGTGCATCCCAATTCCTTCCCGTGGTGGGTCAAGCCAGGCGAGATGCTGGGGCCGAGCCTGCCACAATGGGATGCAGGAGCAGCACAGCCTTTCCTTTAGGGGTGGGGCATGCAAGTAGCAAGGACTTAGTATTCACAGCCAAGAGTTAAGAGGTTTTGCTGAAGTGGGAATGAAGTAAGGCAAAGACTTCTAAGTTTTTTGGGGCTTGCTTTGTAATAGGATTTCATGCAGGGGACTGGAGTAACCTTTCCATTGCAGCCAGACTGGGGACTTGTACAGCACTTTGCACAGACGTGCTTTGATTTCCACAAATAATAGCTTTTTGCAGTTCTGCTTCATCGTTGGATACGAAGCGGGGTGTAAAATGCTTTTTCTTAATTTGCTATGTGTTGAATGCCTTTGGAATGCAATTAATATTCTTGCTAAGTCTCAAAAAATTAATAGGCGTGTCTGGATGTTGCTAACTGTGACTGTGTATGTGCGGAGAGTGGTGGTGGGAGGGATGGCTCAGTCCCTCGAAGCTGGAATCAACCTAATGTGGGGAAGAAAGGTGCAAAACCCTTGGTGAAAACTTAAGCACACAAACTGGCTATGGGGAAATGTGCCGTGGTGCCATGCTGGCTGGATCAAATCCACATGATGGTGCTAATGCAGCGGCTGCAGGTGGGAGCAGACATCTCTCAGCTGCTTTGGGCGCCACCACCTTCCTCCCACTGGGATGTCCCTGACCTGGGAAGGACCCAAATGCCACCCCCAGCTGGAGCAGGGGCTCTTACCACTCCTTTCCTGTAAGCCTGGCAAGAGTGATCAAGCTAATTAGTTAATTAGCTGCCATTGAGACTGATTGAGGATGAGGGCTCTCCCCATGCTGGTGCAGGTGCTCAGCCTGCCTGGGAACCTGAGCTCCTGGGTGGTTTTAATTTTCTTGGTCTGTGTGTGACATGTAATATGCTGTCAAATGTCTCGAATGCTGGCAGCATGTTCAGGGCTAGTATTTTCACTCTAAAGAATATTTAAGATGAGTTTTCACGTTTTATGTAGCTCATTTACTACTTGCCTTTCTGCCATGCAGGTGTGATGAGAGACGAGCTGGTTTCAATTTCTTCTTGACTGTAGCCAGCCCTTTCAAATTCCCCTGTGCTGTGACATGATGCTTAAGATATCGCCACAAAAAAAGTGTGTGTGTATATATATATCTCTCACATTTCTATAGAATCATAGAATCGTTAACGTTGGAAAAGACCCTTAAGATCATCAAGTCCAACTGTTAACCTAACACTGCCAAGTCCACCACTAAACCACGTCCTAGGGGGCTAAAGCTCAGAGATAAACAAAGCTTCCTATTGATGCTGTTTAAAAAAAATAATGATCTCATCTCAGAACCAATTAGAAATCACCTAAAAATAGCTTCAGGTACTGAAGCCACCTGGATTTCTCCTCTTAGGTTACAAAGATTTCTGATGAGGCTTTGCTAATTATTCTCACCAGGTGGGTTTGGGGTGGGGGGTTGGCCCGAGTGTCCGGGGGGCTACCTGCGAGCGGAGCCCCAACACACTGTGCAAACACCCGGAGGGCGTGAAGAAAAATGTTTTCCACCTAATCTTGTTACTGTGACAACAGCAGCGAAACCTTTTAAAGCAGAAAAATGTGACTTTTTAAAGCGATAGTGGTGTCCCTTCAGCTCTGTTTGACAAATGCTATCTGTAGCGTGTGCTGCCTGCTTCGCAATAGTCCCGTAAGCTCAATGACAGTCCTATGGCACAGAGCTTGAATTTCCAAGAAAGCTATGAATCCTTTTAAAATAGAAACTTTTTGGCTAGAAGTGATGTAGTTAAAGGGTTACCCTTTTCTTTCCCTCTTTCTAGCCCATCTGGTCCTTTTATCTCTGTTTTTTCTCCCTTCACTTTTCATTTCCCAGCTCCTTCCCCTGGCGCTCCCCCACACTTTTCTGCTTCTTCCTTTAAATTGGTGTTCCCCAGCTGCCCATTTTAAGCCACTTTTGCTTGAAGCTTGATGTTGCTGGTAGCATTTCCTGCATCTCCTTCCCTCGCATGGACCAGTACAGCGTTTCCACTCATCTCAAACACAAGCATCACAAGTCGCAGCTGCTTTTATGCAAGTCAAGCTCCTGAGTCTTCCTCGTAACCCAAATCCCCCAGGTTTGGCTGGCAACAGCAGCCCAAGAAGCTGGGGCTGCTCTCAGCCTCTTTATGCGGCGCTGGTTGAACCCTTGCGGGTTCCCAGTATAAATTCATGTGGTTGATAGAAAACAGGTTGGAAACATCCAGCAGTCACCTCTTGGCTAGAAACCTAAAATTATTAGCCAGCAGCCAAGTGGAAGTATGATATATTTATATATTAAAAAAGTGGGATCCTCATGGTCTCTAGGGATCCTTTCCAGCTTTCCCAAGAAATCTGACCTGTCCATAACAGATCTTTTACTTTGTTCAAAGCCTCCCGAAGTTTTGAAGGGCAGCTGTGGAAGGGATAGAAGATGCTTAATTTCATTCTGCTGAAGCAGCTTGGTAGCACAAAGACAGCGCTTCCCTGGTTTGCATTTTTTCCAGTTGGCTCTCAGTATGGCTGAGTGCTAAGGATATTTTTTTATTTGAAACCTTGAATTCTGCAGAGACCGAGCGCATGTGTTTTAGGATCACCAACGAAAATTTCTTACTGTCCCAGCAGGGTGGAAATTTCAAAGCTATAATATATGTAGTCTTCCAACATCATTAAAATAGGGTTTTGCCTGACAGTGCCACCGTGAAGGAATGAATAGGAACCTGCCTGCAAATTCCAAATCAATCGCTGTTGCGGTATCACAGTGGAGGTAATTTGGAGAAAATTTCTCAGGGAAAGACAGGGCTGCGAGGGTGTGAAAGAAGGAAATAAAATCTGTTTTTCTGCCGGTCATCCTATGGTCCTCTGTGCTGCCCTCAGGCTGAAATCTGGCTGCTCGCACTCAGCAAATGGAGGCTTCTGGGGTTAGGAAGCCGTGCGTGCTTTCCCTGGCGAAGGGAGAGAAGATGGCACGTTGCTAGGCTGCTGGGTGGAAGAAGCTGGCTCTTATATCTAGCTTTTGCTGAGGTTTTCTATGATGCCATTTGCTTTAATTTACTCCTTTTTCAGTTTTTAAGGTGCCTGGAGGAGTTTGGGAGAGGGTGTCTAGGCAGGAATCCCCAGTCACGTATGGAGTGAGGCCGTTACTGCACTATAAGGACTTAGATGAGGTGACGCTGGGGTGGACTCCAGCTCCATCCTGCCCGATTTCTGCCCTGGTCAGCAGCCAGTGGGATGGATGTTATTTGCTTGAGCTGTGACTGGGTCCAGATTAAACCAACAGCTCAACCAGCAGGTTTTACTTATTATTAATTAGGAAGCCTGAGGATGTATAGAGGAGGATACTTATGGCATTTAAAAAAAAAACACAGGAGAGGTATGCGGCTTTTTTTGAGCTTGGAGGGCTGCGTGCTCCAACTCTTGGGTGAGAGGAGGCCCAAGTGGTGGGGAAGGTGACCCTCAGGGATGCAAACAGCAGCGCAAATCCCTCCTGGGAGCAGAGCGAGCAGCCGAGCAGGTTGGTCCGGGGCGGAGGAGCGGAGGCTGCCCTTTGCCCACCGCGGCGGCCGGCGGCCCATGTGGCAGTGGACTTTGGCAGCAACGCCCGGGGAGCGGAAGAAGGGCCCCGGCGGCCTCCGAGCAGGTGTGTGCGGCTGCCGCGGGGGGCGGACGGCGGTGGGAACCCCTGGCCAAAAATTAGGGGGGGCCCTCGGTGGGGCCAAAATGATGGGTGTCCAGATGTTTGTGCCTGGGGGCTATTTAGGGCAAGGATTTAACCCTGATTTCACCTAGAAGGGACACAAATTGAGCCGCCTCTGTTCAGACCTGAGTGTGTCATCTGTCACTCCCCACCCCTCCCCGAAATGATGCCAAAATGCCTTAAACTCTGAGTGTGAGAGGGGTGACAAGTGGTTCAGACAGCATCTGGCCATCTGCCCATGTCAGGGAGGTTCGTGAGCCTTTGTGGGGGTGGTTTGGGTACCGATGCTGCAAGAGGAGATGTGGGGGGTTTGAGGGTGGCATCCCCCCCTGGCAGCTGGGGCTTCACCCATGTGTTGCCCTGGGCTCTCCTTAGGGTTTCCTCTTCTGCGTGGGACAGTTATAAGTAAATCTGGTGTCCGCTTGAACTGCTGTATTCTTGCTGGAGCTGACAGGCAGGAGGAAATCCCTGTTTCCACCCCATCTCATAGCTCACATGAGCAAAGCTCCATTTCTTCCTGCCTCTGTTCCTACTTGTTTCTTTGAGAATAACTCTCCTTGTCCTGCTCATAGCTTTGCCAATATTCCTTCCCCTATCACGTATAAAATGAGGTTTCACCGCCTTATCACAGAGGTAAAGCTGATTTGTCACCTGCTTGGGGAGGCTGTGAGCAGTGGTGCTTTGCAAGGCTGGCTGGCAGTGCAGGAGGATGCTACCTGGATGCTACCTCTTGCTCCAGGAAGAGCTGGATGCCTGTTGCTTTCAAAAATGGACCATTTCATCATGGTGTTTTAAGGGTAGCTCCAAGTTTAGGCAAATGGGGAGGCTTTTCCTTGCTTCTGGGCATTTTGGAAAGGATGGTGGGTTTCCAGCAGGCTCCCAAAAGCAGAGCAGATGGCAACAGACTTCACAGGGGACTGCGAGGGGGATGGAAAACTGTTGATCAAATGCACTGTGGTTTATTTCATTGCTTGCAGACCACTAAAGCTGTTTGGAACTTAACCCCCACTCCCACCTCAAAACCGGAGAGGCTCTCGCTGGCAAGCTTGTGATGGACCCCCGGGGCCCGGCCCGGCCACCCCAGCCCCAGGAGAAACAGGCAGCCTGGGGGCCGTGGGGAGAGGCACACCATGGCCCCCCACCGCAGCCCAGGCGGCAGCTCCTCCGTGCGGGGCCCCCGCCTCGGCCCGGCTCCTGGGACGGGAGCCACCTCCCCGGCCTCCTCTGGGATGAGGGCCACCACCCCCGGAGGGACGCCCGCAGACCGGCTTCCCGGGCTGAGTACTACGAAAGCAGCTACCCCAACAGGCCATACTCCAGGTGAGAGCTGCCTCACTTTGCAATGCTCACACTGAGCCCCCTCCTTGTAAATCCTTTTAAAATAGGATTTGACCACTTCACCACTCTCGTGGGATTGCAACACGGGTGCTGTCCTGGTCATGGCACAAAATGGTGAGCAGCCACCAGCTGCAGGCTCAGAGAGGCAGTGCGTGATTAGGCGATGTCCAGCTATCAAAGCAGCCGGCGATTTCTATTTTTAAGGCTGCATAGCAGTTGCGGCTCTGATTTCTTCTTACAGCTGTGACTTCTGTGGTTGCCATTTTACAGGCTTCATTTTGGTCCTGAGGTGCATTTTTCTTGAAGGTTTGATTAAATGCAGTTCTCTTTTACCAAGTGCAAGGTGAACAATAAAAATACAAATGTTAATATAGGAGCAAAAGGGAGCTTGCAAGCTCAGCTGCTGAAACAGCGGAGGGTGGAAAGATAAAATGTGGGCTAGAGGATGCTCTTGGTGCTGAGAAAGAGCTTCGAGCACTCCAGCAAATATGGGTTGATTTGCCTGAGTTATTGCCCTCTGCGAGTTATGGTGTGGATACGCAGGGTTTTATGCTGAGGTTGTGCGATGCTCACACCGGGAAGGGGGTGGTTGCATGGGGCTGACCAAATTGCGAAGGGTTAAGGTATGTGAGTAATGAGTGGGTGGCTTAGGCTGGGGCTGGGTTCCGGTGCAGGGGGAGACCTGCTGAGCTATGCAGTGGACACGGCAGCTCCAGAGCTTGGCAGAGAAAGCGCTTTTGGAGGACCTATCCTAAAACGTGGGTGAAAGTTGATCACCATGACAAGTTCACACCATCGAGCTGAAACTGGGCATCTCCTGAACTGCAGTGCACAGCTTTCTCGTAGATGGGGATGGGAAAGTATCCAAACCTCCTGCTGCTCCTTCCAGGTGTGATGCTGGCCCAGTTTCTGGCGCTGCTGCTGAGCGGGGCACCTGGGCAGGGGACCTGGCTTCATTTCCATCACCCTTTCTGCCTCCAAAGCTCCCACCCGGGGCATGGGTCTAACCCTAGATGTGGTCCAGAACCTGCAGCGATGCCCTTTCTTTCTCAGATTAAGTATGTCATGTTGCGTTTCAGGCAAGAATATGAAGACCCCCACCGGCAGTATCCAGCAGCCAGCTACGGGGATGACTACACCTACCAAAGCCACCAGTGGCAGCCGGTGGCCTGGCAGGATGGCAGAGGTACAGGCTTATCCTCTGGGTCTGGGGGTGGAGGCAACTTGCTTGCAGGAGAAGAGGCGATGCTTTCTCCAGGATACGTTCTTCTCCCAGGACTTTCTCCTGCCCACATTCCTGGGCTGTCGGTGCTGTTCTACCCATGCAGCACTGCCCTCAGTTTGCATTTGGGAAATGTGAGCAGGAACTAGGTGCACCCAAGGGAATGTTTGATCTTGATCTCCATGGCTAAAACCTGTGCCATTCCCAGTTCCAGGCTGAACTTGATGCTGATGGTGCTGTGTGACCAGGGTGGCCGGGGCCTCATTTTTGCTGTTTCTGGAGTTGCTGGGCTGAAGAAAAGGGGAGAGAGCAAAGAGGAAAGGACATCAGTGCTGTGTTGGCAAACATGTACAGGGCTTTATCATACCTCCAATGTGTCGGGCTAATTTGGAAGCAAATGGGGTGTGCATGGCAAATTGCCTGACTCATTGCTTTTCTTCTGCAACTTCATTATGGCTTGTTGCTCCGGAGGGGCAATGCTAAATCTTGATTCTCTCTCTAGACCTGAGACAGGGAGAGCCTTATGGCAAGAGTACCAATTACCGGGACCAGCACTACTACAGGGGTTACCATCCCAACCTGGCCACAACGCCCCTGGGGCAGGGCAGGTAAGGGTGGGGAGTCTGGGCATCACCTGGTGCAACCATCTGCTGCAAAATTAGTGGGTTTGTGGCTGGTCCCAAAATCTCTGACCTTCAGGGTGTCTCCTTTTGCTCCTGTCTGCAGGACACAGACCTACAACTCCTACGAGGAGAGCTACATCTCGGCTGCCAGGAGGGAGTGGGCAGGGGGAGAAACCCTCAGCAGTGAATCGGGGGAGGCCAGTGGCCAGTCCCAAGAGGTAACCTCAAGATGGGCAGGGGTTGGAGGACAAAGGGCTTGGGGATCTCCCAGAGATTTTGGGAGCAATCCATGTGACCCTCCTCCAGCTGGGAAGGAGGCTGAGGAGAAAAGGGCTGCTTTGCCATGTTGCACTCAGTGCTTAACAGTCTCTGGGGATTATTATAGTGGGTTATTAGTATTTATGAACTCTCCATCTGCTGGGCTGTCGTTCTCCCAGGCATGGGGCTGTACACCACTCCCACCAGGGTCAAGAGCAGGACAGAAATCCAGGCTTGGTGGGATGCTCTTCTGCATCATCCCTAGGTAGCAGAAAGCTGTGTGTCATTGTCAGCTCTGCCAAGTCCTGCTCCATCACACTTGTGTCCTGATCCCTGTGTTTTTCCAAGAGCAAATTAAAAGATCAAATCAAAGCTGCTGTGGTGGTTTTGCTCCTGGGCAATGCTTTTTTGGGTTCTCAAGCCCTGTCTGCTGGCTGTGTTGAGGAGTCTGTGCTAGGGCTAAGAAAGCTGTTGGGCTAGAGCAGTGGCTGATGTAAATTATTTTAGAAGCCATTGGGTGTGACCAGGGTATGTGCCATGATGAACCTAAGATGCTGAAGAGTGTGAGCTGCTCAGATGGGAATCGGCTGTGCTGTGCTTCTCCTGCTGGGCACTTTCACGGAGCAGTAGAGCCTGTCCCACTGCCCTGGGAACAGAAAAGCAGCAGTGTCCCTAGTTTCTCAGCCACGTTTGTGTTTTCTCCCTTCCTTGCAGCCCCCGGGCCAGCCCAGCCTGCTCCTGCAGTACCGCGAGTCGGGGCTCAGCTCCAGCAGCGCCGAGCTCAGCCAGTACATCCGTGACAGTGCCGACAACTACGACCCCATGTTTTCAGGGACCTGGAGCCCAGCACAAGCAGGTGAGGTGTGATGGGACCCTGGCCCCCCTGACAAGGGGGCGGATCAAGGAATTAAATGGCTGGTGTTAAGAGATTTGCTGTCTTGCAGCTTGATCCTTCCCTGGAGGAGGCTGTGCAGGTGCAAGCCATGACTGGGGGACCACGGGGTGGGTGCATGGTCCGGCAGCTCTCCCCTGGTAGGTGCAGGGGCTGCCATGCATGCCTTCTGCTTTAGGGGACAGTTCTTGCATGGGGGGAGTCAGTGGAGGATTACTTAATTTAGGAGGCCAGGTTGGGACCTGGTCACATCCTCCATAGTGGAGGTGGTGTGGGGTCAGGGTGAGGGGACTCACGGTGGCCTGTGTGTCGTTGCAGGGGGGCCCTTGGTATCCACCCTGGCCCCAGTGGTACCCCTCAAGTTCTCGCTGCCGCACATGGCGGTGTGCTTTGGAGCCAGAGGCCAGCTGGTGATGGTGTGTCCCTACCGCCCTGCTGAGGGGCAGCTAGCCCACGTCGAGCTACACAGCCTGGAGGTATGCCACAGCCCGGCAGCCCAGACCACCCTAGGTCCCCTTGCTGGAATGGCTCCTTTTGCCCCAAGGGATGCAAACACCGTTCATCACCCCAACAGCCTCGTCAGCAGCCTTCCTGTCCCCTTCTGCCATCTTACCTCCAGCCCATGTGGACTCTTGAGTCTGCATTGTGCTAACCTGTTGCCTGGGAGTTGCTTTCAGCCTTCGGGCCCCGCATCCTGCTCCTTCAGCTCCATACCCTTGTCATTTGTGACCTGTTCACAGTGATCCCTTCTGATAGGGGCAGATGTGGTCCATACCTCTCTGAAGGACAACGCTGCTCACCTTTCTGAGGTGCTCCAATACAGACGCCCTATCCATCCCCTGAGTCTACCACAGCGTTTCAGTCTCTTATTTTTGGCTCCCAAAGGAGGCAGATGCCATATCAACAGGCATTTCTTTCCTGGACCTTAGCATTGAGGTCCATGTGATGGTTTAGGGTCTATGCGCTGGGGTTACCTTAAGACAGCACAGAGAATGGGTTCACTAGTGCTGTTGAACCCTTGGGCAAGGTACTGACTTTCAGCTAGCCCAGCTGGGGCTGACCTGATTGCTGGAGTCCAGCCACTGAATTTGCTCTTGTTTTTTAGGTAATCCTTCGTGATACGAAAGAGCTGGAGGAGCTACAGGCCTTCCCGGGGCCCCTGGCCAGGTATGCTGCACCAGCAGGTCCAGGAGCTGTGTCCTCCTGGCTGTGCTGGCATGGCTGGCCTGGGACCACCTCTCCTTTGAGAGGAGACGTGAGCTCAAGGCAGACTTTAGGTCCCCGTGGTTTTGATATATCTGGAAAGGCCAAGTCTAGGTTCAGATTGGGAGCCCAGCCCCTTTGCTGCGGTGTATGTTGGATGGATTGTGGGAGATGGTTTTTTTGAATATTCATAGGGTGTGGGCTCAGTGTGGTTTGTATGTCTGACCTTATTTTGTACTCATGTCCCAGAAGACTGATTTTTGGGAGATTTCTTTGGATGTCTGAAGCTCTGGGTCAACCTGTGGTTTAGCTTTTCCTAAGGTTTTTGTCCCCTGAGACTGTTGAGCACAGCAGGGTCAGACGCAGTACGCATCTTCATCCAGCGTGAGCCTGGGGATAAATCATGGCGTATTGCATCATGTTGTCTCTGTATCATACTGGTTACACCAGTGTGTCTTCTGGTCACTCATAACCAAAGCGGGGAGAGAAAAGGAGTATGTAGAAGGAGGAAAACAACTTACTGAGGAAAACCATTTACTGAGCAAAAGAGCTGCTTACCCAGAAGCTGGGTAGAAGACCTGGAGGTTACCACTTGTGCCAAAGGGGATGTTGGGAATCTCCATATGATAAGTTGGTGTGATTGAGTCAGGATCAGCATCTCCATCCCCAGTCCTTCTCCCCTGGCTGATCTTGTGTCTCAGCCACCCTTTCTTTCAAACCATCTGATTATTTTATTGTAAGACAGCAGTTCTGCCTGGCTTGCACATAGCTTAAAGGTTTCTGCTTCTGTTTCAGACCCAAAGGGTTTATGTGGTCACAAGCGTGTCTCTCTCCCTGCGCTATGCCAGTTAAATAAAGATACTGCCTGTATGTGTGCCTGCTCCTGCAGCCTCGTACATCCACAGCTGTAACAGCAGCACAGCAAAGCAAAACTGATGTTCTTTGGAGATGGATGGATGAAAATATTATCAGGAGGGCAGAGAGAGGGTTTGAAATGCACTCCATCCCTGAAACAGAAATCTGCAGAGTCGTAATCATGATAAAATTTAAGCATTTTTGAGTTTGGTGTGGGCAATGTGGTATGTGATCATTGGCACTGAGGATCTTCTCCACCTCTCACTTTGAATCTTTGGTATCCCCATCAGTGAACCTGGGGACACTTTGAGTCTGAATGATGTCCTAGATTGCTTTGCCTTGGGTTTCTTTTGATGCCTTTCTTTGCTGCTGTAGGGAAGATCTGCACAAGGTGGATGTGATGACATTTTGCCAGCAAAAAATAGCCACGAGCTGTGATCTCTCAACACAGAGAGGAAGAGATTCATCTCTTCTCTGGAAACTCCTGGTCCTCCTCTGCCGGCAGAATGGGGTAGGTGTCCCATGGAAGGGGCTGACCCCTTGATCTTAGAAGTGAGACAAGTTATATGCCCCTTAAGTGCCTCTTGATCCAGTTGCTATTTTCAGGGGGGGGTATACCTTAAAAGCATCCCATTCCCATAGTACTATCAATCAGTTTGATACTGCCTGGATATTTAGAGCAAACCCTTCTCCATGATTGCTTTTCACCCTTGTGAACTACCAACAACCCAATGCTGTAACAGCTGTGAAAGGGACTGGTGCCACCTTCGTCAAGGAGCCAGCACTTATGCTTAAAAGGGGGTTATTCCCTTAACCTAATGAAATCCACCCAATCTAATTTGTGGCTGCTTGTTGGAAGCAGAAGAATAAGATCTTCAGAGCAAGTGCTCTGAAGGTCTTGCTAGCTAGGCTGAATCCTTTGCCCTCCAAAACTGCATGCTGGTGGCCAAGTCTGGTCTTGCTGGGGGGATGTGCTAGGATGAGGATACAAGTATAAAGGTGTCAGACTGGAAGTGTTGTCAGCCTTTGCTCATGGGGCAGCCTCCATGGGCCTCGCTCCTCCTCTTTCCTTTTGCAGTCCATGGTGGGCTCAGACACAGCTGAGCTGCTGATGCAAGACTGTAGGCGCCGGGAGAAGTACAAGAGGCAAAACCCTGCGGCAAACCTGATCGGCCTGACGGATGATGAGTGGATGTCGTGTCAGCCGGGGACACTGGACCTCATCACAGGGGAGGTCCCTCCTGTTGTGCAGACGCAGGCACAGATAGTGGAGAAGTTCACCAAGCTCCTCTACTATGGCAGGAAGAAAGTAAGTGGTGAGCAAGATCCAGGACACAGGGCCGACATTTTTTCTTGGCCCCCTTGGCCTCTTCAGGCAGGTTTTAAAGGGAAGAGTGGTCAAGAGGTGCTTTGTAGTTGTGGGATCAACCCTTCAAGTTGTGTTTGTACAACAGGGCTTATGGCAATGATTTTCCACCACTGGGAATTGGGATGGGGCCCCAAGTGAAGACAAGGACAAGATGCAGAGACTTTTACCAGCACCGCGGGTTTCGTTGCAGCTATGTGATCTCAAGGGATACCAAGGGAGACAGGAGGGCTGGATGCAGAGAAGCTTGGGTGCCCAGGCTGGGATCCCACAGTGGTGGCATTGAGAGCTAAGAGGCAGCACGGACCTGAAAATCCAGGAAAGAAAATATTCCTATGAAGGTCCCAGTTCTTGTCATTGTGCAAGGTAGAAAGATAAAGGGGCCTCTGCAAACATTGAAAACTTTTTTGGAGGATATTAGTTAAAGCCAGAGCAGTTATTGGGGCTCTTCTCTGAGCTGGGTGAGCAGAGCGTCCCCTGGCAGTGGAGGAGGGTAGGGAAACAGAATTAGTGCAAACCCTTTTTCTTCTCCACCTTGGCTGCAGGATGCTCTGGTCTGGGCCATGAGAAACCAGCTGTGGGGCCATGCCCTCTTCCTCTCCAGCAAGATGGACCCTCGGACCTACAGCTGGGTGCTCAGCGGGTAAGTTGGAGAAGTTAAAGCAAGGTACGATGCTCTGTGACTGGCCTTGCCAAGCCTGTTATCCCTTCAGGTGCCCTCGGCCCCAGTGCACTGAAAAAAGAGGATTGATTTCAGCTGGACCCTTTCAGAGGGGGCAAGGGGGAGAGGGGGCATCCATCTGGATGGGCATGAGTTCTTTGGGCTTCCTGATGGACAGGAGAAACCAAGTGGGGGCTGGAAAGCAGAAGGAAAACCATCCCCTGGAGATGCGGGGTGGATTTGGCTTTGCTCTTGCTGCCCTAGCAAAGGCAGCATCAGGGTAGGGGGAGCTGAGCCATCTTCACTCTGATCCAGCCTGGTCTGAGCTGTTTATCCCACTCGTATGAATGTTTTCTGGTGGAATTAATGTACTTAGTCTGGATTGGGTTGATCCCTTCAGGGAGAGTTAAGCAGAAATTTTCTGTTTTGAGCAACCTGAATCCTTTTAAGGAGGTTTTATCCAGCGTTGTCCTGGAGACTTGCCTGCTCTGGAGGTAATTCAGATCATCAGCCTGGTGGGCTGACAATCCTTTCTGCCTTCTCCGGGAAGGCCCTCAGGACACTGCTTTCCTGGGGCATTTGGGACATGCCCTTGGAGGTGAATGAGGGTTTGGGGTCCTGGCACGGCAGCCCTCTCTCTGCTGTCTCCTCACAGGTTCACCAGCACGCTGGCCACCAATGACCCCCTGCAGACCCTCTTCCAGCTCATGTCAGGAAGGATTCCTCAGGCAGCGCTGGTCCGTAAGCAAGAGGCTGGCCTTGGCATGTGTAGCTCTGTGCTGTCACCTGCCTGTGACACCTACCTTGTGGTGACCATCTCTGCTCACCTTCGCTCTCCTCTTGTCTCCCTCCAGTGCTGTGGGGATGCCACGTGGGGAGACTGGAGGCCCCACCTGGCCGTGATGTTGTCCAACAAGGTTGGAGACATGGAGCTGAACCACCGAGCCATCATCACCATGGGAGACACTTTGGGTGAGCCAAGGCCATTGTGAATAGTTAGTTCCCACTGTCTTGTAATAGTGGGTGGACACCTGCAGTGTCACTGTGTGTGCCCACGCTGGCATGGATGTTCATTGGTGCTGAGATGGGGTATGCATATTTGTACCCAGGGAGCTGCAGTGCCTCTGCGGTGGCAGGGATGAGGCATTGATGGATCCCGCTGCCCTTCGTGCTGGCAGATGAGTCAGGCTCAGGCACATCCGTTAGCTGCTCTTTTGGAGACACTTGAAGCAGCTGGACCCAGGGAGGGCATATGTAACTGCAGGGACTGAGACTTGCTCCTGGTGGCGGGAACTCCAGGGGGCTTCATGCCAACAATGGCACCCTGCAGAGTTGAAGCTGGAGCTGGACCTTGCTCAGGCTCCCCTGGTCCTACCACTGAACAGAAACCCCCTCCTAGATACAGAAAACAGCAAACGAGGAAAACAGACAAAAAACAGAAGGGGGGGATCAGGGTCTGCATGGACAGGGAAGAAAAGTGGGGCGATTTGGTTTGTGTTTTCATGTGAGCTTGGGGGCCTCTAAAGCAATGTTGACCACGCGGTGACCTCTCTCTCAGGACTAAATGTTTGTCTTTTTTCCTCCCATGCAGCTGGCAAGGGAGCAGTTGAAGCAGCTCATTTCTGCTATCTGATGGCAGATATTCCTTTCGGTTACTTCGGGGTGAAGGCAGACCGCATGGCTCTGCTGGGCAGCAGCCACCGGTGAGGAGCTCAGGAGGCGGTGCTCTTGCCAGAGTGACGTGTCCCACCTTCTCCCCATCCCCAGGATCTCACTTTTTTGCAAAAGCAATCTCCATTTGTGGGATTTTACTGCTCTAAATGTGAGCTTTGCTCTGGACCTCTCCAGCTGCAGGCTGGCACAGTGGCGGAGCTGTGAATCTGTGCGTGGGGCTGCCTGGGGAGAGAGCTCTGCTCCTGCTTGCTAAACCTGCCCTTCTCCTCTGCAGTCAGGCGTTTGCCCAGTTTGCCAGGACGGAGGTCATTCAGCGGATGGAAATCTTCGAGTACTGCCAGCAGCTACGACAGCCCAAATCCTTCCTGCTCCCCTTCCAGGTAGCAGAGATGCACAAGCACATCCGGTGCAGCAGCTCAGACCTGCCCCAAAACATGCATCCATCCCCCTGAAGCCAAGGATTCAGGCTGCTCTCCAAGGCTTGTCCCCTTGCTGGGCTTTGGAAGTGATGGGGAGGCTGCCCTGGCTGAGGGGCTCCTCCAAGGCAGGGCTTCGGGCAGGTTTTGGGGCACAGTGTGTTTGATCGGTGCTTACTCAGGTCTGGCTCCCCTCCTGCTCCCTGGGTAGTGGATAGGCTTTTCATATTGCAAATAAACACCCGGCTGCCACTGCCTCGGGTGCTGCACAAATCGGATGGATAAATGAAGATGGTGGTGGGCCTCACGACAGTATCACGGTTTGGGGATTGTGGCTGGGCTGCCCCATGGGGATGGGTGGGGTGTCCCCAAGTTGCAGGTGACCTCTGGGTGGTAAGATGCATGACCCAGGGTGCTCTGAGTCACGCTGGGATGATGTGCTAGCACCAGGGCAGAGGGGACTTGCAGGCATGAGAGTCTCCTCACTCACCTATGTCTGCTCTCCTTCCCTCTCCCAAGGTGTACAAGCTCCTCTACGCCTCTCGCCTGGCCGACTACGGGCTCCCAGTCCAGGCCTTGCAATACTGCGAGCAGATTGCCACTGCGCTCCTGGGCCAGGATCCAGCCAGCCACCCTGTCCTAGCCCAGCAAGTGATGAAGGTGAGTCTCGTACCCCTCTGCATCCTTGGCAGGGTGGTACCCATTCAGGACCCAGTGTGTTGGGAAGCATCCTCGGGGTTTCCCCACGGCTGGGGGCGCTTGACAGCTCTGAGCAGCCCCCTCAGGGTTTGCTGCCTGGCATGTGCTGAGCATGGCAAAGCCAACACCTCCGCAGGGTCTCTAATACTCACAGATTTAGGGTAGAAAACAAAGGAATTGTGTTGACTGCCAAGCAGGAGCAGAGTTATTTGGAAGCAAAGCATGTTTTCTATTCTGGAGGGGCTTTTTGAACTTCTAAATGGAACAGGCTTAAGAAGCTGAAGTGTGAGTGTTTGACATTTCCCCTCCAGCACATCATCCCACGGTTGCATTTACCTGCTGGGGGCTCTTTTGAGGTGACAGTGAGCAGGAGCGTGTCCCAGCTTGTAGCCCCAAGCCCAGCTCCTCCACTTCATGAGCAGGGTGCTGGGGCAGGGAGGGGAGAAGCAAAGTGTCCCAGGTCCCCCATGCAGGTTGGGCTCTCAGGAGAGCGGGTCTGCCCACTCCACGCGCATCACCGGGGCAGTGCCGAGGTTGCTCGAAGCCTTCCTCCGTTGGGAAGGGGGCAAAAGCTGCGGTGCTGTGGGATGAGGGGCAGCAGGGATGCCTGTCTGAAGCAGGTGCTGTAGAAATTGCCCAAAACTCGGCTGGTGCAGCCCCCCCACCCCATCGTTGAAACCTATTTACTGTCTAACAGCCTCTCAGATCTACTGTTCTGCTGGGGATAATGCTTCTCCTGGGAGAAAACACTTTCATCTGCAAAACTAGTGCATGCATAGACACTCTTGTCTTTGATGTTTTAGACTGTGTTACAAATTATGATACACATTAGTGTTTGATTAAGGCTTCCCCTCTTTTGAAGCTGGGGACGATATACAACCAGGTGCTGGTTCATTAATATTGGATCAAAGTGCACATTAGCTTTTGGATTAAACATTCCCCCCGTTTAGGAGTAATCATGCTTATAATTTCCTCTTTCCTGCAATTGATTTAGGATGAACACGTGTGTTTGCAAAGAGATGGGATGGTAGTGCAAGCTCCTGGCTGGGTTACTCTGCTTGTTGTGGCTGGCCCCTGTCCCGAGCCGGGCTCTGGCTGCGTAGGTTGTGTCTCACTGTAACCTCCTGGAGGTGGGAAGTGTATTTTGTGCTGGGTTAGACTATTTTGAACACTTTTGGGAATAGGAAGAAACAGCTGATGTGGGCTGGTGCGGTGGTGGGTGGGGATGGCGGAGACCTATGTGTGAATTTTGGGGTTGTCCTATGCAGGGACAGGAGTTGGACTCGATGGTCCTTGTGGGTCCCTTCCAACTCAGGACATTCTATGATTCTATGACCTGTGTGGCTGTGGAGGGTGGCTGAGCTGCAAAGTCATTTCTGGGTGGCTTTTGGTGGCCCTTGATGATGCAGCCTTGTAGCAAAGCATGGAAGATAAATGAGCATGAAGGAGCTGGGAGGGAGCTTGATAAATTTCCAAGAAGTGGGTCGATACCAGGAAGAGAAAATTCAGTAAAGGCTCGGATGAAGAGCAGTGCTATGGGTGAGCGTCATCTCCCCTCATCCACCTGTCTTAAAACTGGACCCTTGTCTAAGCAATTTGTCCAAACTGATTTAGCTCTGCAGGGAGCCCTCCATCGCACCCTGGGCCAGTAGGTTGGGTCACCCCAGAAAAGCCTCGTGCTCCATTAGCAGCGGCTGGAGCCCTGTGTCATTGAGACGGCTGCAACCAGGGAGGCATGGGCTCCTCTCTTCCAGGAGAAATTAAACACACAGCAGCAATACTGCAGAGAGGGACCTGGGGGAGATAGTGGAGCATGGAAAAAATACCAAGCAGCAACATAGCAGTATGCTGTTGCAAAAAAGGAAAAAAAAAATCCAATGTTATAATGTTATTCTGGGCTGTGAGAGCAAGAACGGCATGTGTGAGACAAGGAGGTGATAATCCCCCCGTGCTTGGGTCTCGGGGGTCTTGACTGGGGCACTGTGCCCTGTTCAGGATGCTGTACTTGGAGTCAGGGCCAAATTGGAGCAAGTGCAGAACTGAAGAGCAGGGGTGATAAGAGATTGAGGGGAAAATTACCTCCAAAGGACTTGGGGTTATTTCTTTCCAGGCAAGACATGCTGGGGGAGGAAGGGGTATGGGGGATGTGATAACAGCTCTCCGGCACGCAGGAGGCTGCTTTTCATGGGATGGTGCCTGACTGTCCCCACAGCTTCTGCAGGAGCAGGAATTGAGAGGCTTAATTTGCAGCAGGGAAGATTTTCACTTAGATATTAAGAAAAAACTGTTTAGCTCTAAGGACATTAAGCATCAGGACAGGCCTGGGAATCTGTGAAATCTTCTCTTTGGAGATTTGTAAGTGCAAATCAGACAAACATAGGCTTCATGGGCTGGTGTGAGCACACAGGATTTTCTCGAGCATCGGCAGATGGATCAGGTAACCTCAGAGTGTCCCTCCCAGCCCTGTATTTTTCTGTGTGGTTATTAGTGATGGTAATGCTTGTTGCAAAGCTGGGTGAGGAAACGGCTGGGTGAGCCCTTAGCTCAAACCCTACTGGCTCCCATCCACCCCCGTGGGGCAGGTGCAGCGCTGGTGCACAGCCCTTGGAGCTGGGCTGTTCCCAGAGCTCCTGCTGGGGTGTCCTGAAAACCCACTGGTGCCCAGGGCTGGCTATCAAGTGGGATTAAAGGTGCTCGTTTACCTCAGAGGAGAAGAGGATGGTAATAGTTATCTGCCTTCCTGATGTGAAGAGCATCTTTGGCATCGGTACTTTGACATCTCTGTGGAGATGGCTGAGATAGCCCTGCTGGGAGGCTCTCTGCAGTGCACAGGATGGGCCAGCACCTCTCCGCAGCAATGCAGGAGAGGGAATAAATCTCACACAAGAGTCTGGTGTTACTTTAACCCCCATATTATGAAGAATTGCAGCTCTGGTGCTGTTTTTCCCCGGGCTTGTGTGCCCAGCCACGTGCAATTGCTGCGAGGGTTGGTTTCTTCCCCGCGGAGCTGATGTGTGACGAGCCCTGTTGCCCTCCTGGCTCTGCAGCTAGCAGAGCGGCTAAAGCTCTCCGACCCGCTGCTCCTGGAGATGCCGGAACAGGACCAGACGCTGGAGCCTGACTGGCTGGTACAGCTCCGAGCCTGCTGCCAGGAGTGGGAGGTAAGGAGGAGTGGGGATGCAGGGGGGCAGCTGGTTTGCGTTGTAGTTTGTCTGCAGAAGCATCTTCCTCCTCTGTCCTGAATCCAAGGGGACAGGTATGGAGGTTCGAAGGCCATTGTTATCCGGGTGCCTTTCCCCTTGGCTTATGAGCTCAGAGATGTGGTCTCTGCTGTCGGACCTGCAGCTTCAGAAGGAGCAGGGGGGTTGCAACACCCAAGGGTGCGAGCAGTGAAGGCTGCAGAGCATCTCACAGGGCAAAATGCTACTTGTCTTGGCTCAAGGAGGGCAGTCAGGGGCTGGTGGGCGAATGATGATCTCTTGTAGTGAGGATATTGCAGAGGACACTGGTGGGGCATCACCTTGCAGACATGTGCTCTCGGGTCTCTTAACTGTGGTCCAGTCCTTGGATTAAAGCTCTTTGTTCAGATTTCATGTCCGCTTTTGGTTTTGTGCCCTTTTCTGTCACCAGTTTCTCCTCCTGCCTGCTCTCAGCAGGGCAGCAGTGCTGCAGCCTCCTTCACTTGCTGGGAAAGCTGTGACTGTGCTGGTATGGGTCGCAGCCTGGGGTGGGTTGTGAGCCCCAGACCCATGAGCACCATGCTTTCCTTTACATTGGTTTCATGTCTTCCTTAGTCTTTGCCCCATGCCATCCCTTTTTCCATCTGTTTTATCATGTTTTCCTTCTGAGTCCTTGCAGGTGGAAGACAACCTCCCTCCAGAGGTGGCACCCACTCAGCCAGAGGTCTCCTGGGCTAATGCGTCGATGGCAGGTAAAGAAAACAAAGCAGCAGGTTGCAGTCACCGCGGCGGGCTTGTCTGCAGGTGGAGTTGTGCTGCCACGGGCTGGGAGGCAGCTCCCTGCTCCCCAGAGCATTTCTCAGCAGCTGCTCCTTGCTCCTTTTACATTCCCCAGAGCTCAAAATTTTGCTCCTGCCTGGATACATCCCTCTGGCATGGGGCTGCTGGGGATGGGCTGCAAACAGAAGGGCTGATGCTTGTGCCCTCCATATGAAGGCTGAGTAACTGGGCCTAATTACCACAGCTGCAGGAGTCCCTGTGGGCACTGTGGGAGGAGAAGGGTCACCGGGGGGTGGGCGGCTGGACGAAGCATGTGCCTCTGGCTGAGCCTCGGGGGAGACAGCCCCGTTCCCAGGCAGTCCTCCCAGCAGGCAAACTGTAGCTGAACTAAGGGGATTTCACACTTGCAAAGCAAAAGATTTGGGAAGGAGCTCGTCCCTCTGCGTGCCAGGCTGTAGCATGCCTGTTGGTGAAGCCCCAGCATTTCCCCTTCCCCGCTGCCTCTTTCATCCCTTTGCTTTGCCTCTCGGTGACCCCAAGAGTCCCCTCCAGTGACAGACCACCCAGAGGGTCAAGAGACATCAAAATGAGGGACGCGAGCCTCCCCTGGGTGGCTGTCAAGGGAAGGGCTGGAGAGCTTTCCGTTCCTAGCTGGGCAGTGTGTCCAGCGGCATGTCCCATCGCAGAGAAGTCGGGGCTGGTGACCCAACGGCATTGCTTCACAGCCACCTCCACCAGCAGGACACCCGGCACAGCCCGCTGCTGCTCAGACCTAGCTTTCTGCTGGGAACGCCAGCACCGATGGGTGGAGAATAAAGGCTGGTGCGGACGGGATAAAATATGACACATTCCTCCAAGTCGTTTCTTCCTATCAGCTTTCCCTGCTGCTGCCAAATTCCTTTTCAAAGAGCTCTCCCAGGCAGTAAAAAGGATCATCAATCCTGATTGCCTTCTGCTGCTATCAGGGCTGAGGCTATGATCATCCTTCCCTGGAAAAAATTCACAGGTGTGATGGGATGGCTTCTCTGAGTGGCCAGGTCTGCTTCATGTGGTCTCTGCAGCTTGCCTTCCCAATACTTGGCCTTTTGTTCATTGAGAAAGCCATCCAGAGTCACCATCTGAGGGACCTGCATGGAGAGAAAGCTGGCTTGCTGCTGAATTCATCCACGTTGGAAAGACAAAGCCCAAATCAAGGTGCCAAGCTGGGATCCATGTGGTCACAGCAACCTCCCTCTCCATCCTTACAGCCCGGGCTGTCCTCCCTGACTTTTTCCAGCTGAGCTTGCCGGGCTGCGTGGAGTTGAGCATCCGTCCTCCTCCCTGTGGGTCTCAAGCATCTCCAGGCTGTGTGGGAGCAGCTTGTGGGTGTGAAGCCAACCCTGAGCAGGCTGGAGGCGATGCTGGCAGGCAAAGCAAAGGGTTTTGTAGCACCGCATCCAAGAGGTGCCACAGTCTGTCCCCAGGCTCAGACCCACGGGGTCTGGGTCCTGCCCAGCTGTGTCTCATGGTGATGGGAGAGAAACTTCCCAGTGCCCAGCACGTTTCTGGCTGGAGGCTGCAGAGCTGGAACAAGCCGGACATGCACCTTGGACCAACAGCAGCGTGCTGCCGGCACTGTGTCTAACATCAGACAGAGCAATGTATGTCTGTGTATTAAATAAAACAAACCCCACTTGTTCAACCTGCTTTCCAAACGAAAAAAAAAAAACAACCCTGCATAAATCTGCCTAAAGCAAGAAACTCATCCGTGGGCACTCCTGTGGAGCAGGAATA